CACGGATTTTCGCTTGTGCGCCAGCAGCTCCGCGACTCCGTTTTTGCGCCGTCGTCCTGATAACGAAGTTTCGTTCATCCGAGCTTGAGTTCCGCGCGCCCGCTCGCTCACAAAAGTAGCCTCGAAACGATGTTGTAGCGTCGAGAGACGAACGACGACAGGCAGAGAAAATTACTGAGAGAGCAGTAGCAACGGCAGCAGCAGCTCTGCCTCTGTCTCTGCCTCTACGCATCCTGTTAAAATGTAAACAGAGAGCAAAACTACAGACTAAAAGAAACTTTGCTGTTGGCCAGCGGCAGCAGAAGCGCTGCTAGCAGTGGCTGGTGACTCTCCACTGGCTGGCTGTACCGTACCTACCGGCCAGTACAGCGAGCGCGACGACGAGCTAAAAAAACCTTATACGCCCTGCACACGGCTGAAAGGCAAAAGAAAGAAAAGAGAAAGAAATAAAGCGAGAAATGCAAAAGACTAGGCTATAGCAACCTCTGTCTCACTCGCTACTGTATATGTAAAGCCAGCGGAGAGGGCATAGTTGAAAGGGAGACTGCCTGTACTGATAACGTATTCTCACAGCAGCAGCAGCGACACAACATCACGACGAAAGAAAAACTACTTCTGAAGCCAGTGTGCATTTTCCCTAGTTTTCGCAGCTTTGGGATCCGCCACTGCTGCTGACGCTGTTCATCGAGCTGTGCACAATATACGTACACATGTAGCCTTATCTACCTTGCATTATAGCACTATATATATATTTGTATATACATAAATACATACATACGTTGGTACGTCGATGCTCGAGCTTGAGCAGTATGGGGCGTTGTGTATAGCTATAAAGCATCGTTGCAGAAGTCGGTGCGCCTCGGTGTTGGGCACGGGTGTGGTTGCTGCTGTAGGTGCGTTTTCTAGCTTCCTCATACATAAACAAGAGATCGTTCGTCGCGCGAGCAACACAGCCATCAAAAGAAGTGCCATGCAAGACTCCATTATGTAGACGGCGCTCATCCCCGAGACACAGACGGAGCAGCAGCTCGTCTTAAAGAATACTAACGATAGGCTTTTTCTTTTGCGGACTCACGAATCATCCTTGTACCGCATATCCCGAGTACGGCGCCCCTTATAAACGTCCAACTTTGACAAAAGTTGGAGCTTTTTCAGGTACAGCTCTGGGTTTATCTGCGTACGCAACTTGCTCGAACTTCTTCATTGTAGATGGCGTTATTTTCTCATTTTTATCAATCACGATATTGACTTTTTTTTGTCTTCGTGCAATCTTTGTCTACGCGAGTGTGATACATTTTTTTAGGAACAGAAGATCCCCGTCCCGTGACATTACCCATGTGGCACTATTCTCTTGTTACGTCTAAATATACACATCCAGCGAACGAATACTCCACACAGTTCAAAGAATCAGTCAATTTTTTTTAATCTAGACATTGCTAAAGCCAACAATGCCTGGGCTGCACTGCGCAGCATTCGTTCTCACACAGCCGGCAACCACATGCTTCATCGCTCTGGCTTCGCGCAGCTTTTTATTATTACCATATAAGCCAATCATCCTCGAAAATCTCTTAAAAACTCGCAGCTTATTAACTTATTTTTACACGCGGCATTTTTCGAACTGCTTGCGCCCATTGTGAATTGTTGCCTGCGCGTTTGTTTGTGTATCGAGAGCGTGTCGTGACTCGTGTATGTTATTTCAAGACGACTCGTGTGTGTCTGCGTGTGTGTGTGCGTCGATAGATTCATCGTGTGGATTTCGGGCTACTCGTGCGTGTCACCACGTCGATAGATTAGTCGAAAACAAAATAGGCGCCACCTACGCACACGGGGACCTGTAGCCTTATTTTTGAAAGTGTCATAAACGCGATTCACAAAACTCGAATACAAACCTGACAAAACAAAAATAATTTAAGCTAATAGAAAGTCGTCGCGAGTTCAATGTCCACTATCGAGATTCACCAATTTCAGATTGTCTTTTTTTCTTCTTACTCGCGAGAATCTGGTATAAAGTGGCTCGGCAACTTTCGAAAAACATAAATTTTAATCCGAAAATACACGTGAATTTAGTAGAGAAAGCGATGATTTACTTCGCTTTTTGCAAAATTAATAAAATAAAAATGTTTAAAATGATCGGCATGAATCAAATTGTAGTGTTATAATGCTGGTATATTATCGTTGGCGTTTGCATTGTTTACGAAAAAAAAAACATTGTACGAATGGAAATAAGTGCGAATCTGTTAGACGTACGACCTTTATTGATAAACTACATCGCGAAACGTGGATTATTGAGTTGGCCGAATTATTGCTATATATCGGAGAGCTCGCGCGACTCGAAGAAAGAGAGGAAGAGCGCGAAAATTAGCATCGTATCTGCAATCATTGAGAGCTGTACTACATTAAACATATCGACAATGTTGCAATTTCTTACTGTGAATCCCGATAAGACTCGCGACTGCACACGCGAGAACATTGTTTAGCGTTAGAAAACTGGACCGTGGCTGTTTTGTATTCCGTAGTCGAGTGAATTATAAAACAACAAAAACTTCACAAATGTTAATCGTGCAACTTGACTCGAATAATAAGACGAAGACGGGGTACATTTTTTGCATAAACTTCTACTCGAGAAGTGCTGAAGCTCGTTTCTGACACATACACACACACACACACACACACACACCTCTCATTAGTAATGTAAATTTTTCAATTTACGACGCTATTACATCACACACACATACTCACGCACGCGCGAAAAGAACACAGTCGATACGAAATGCGACAATGAACTTGAATGCAAGTGGGATAAGACTATATAATACTTGAAGCAAGATGGACTTTGCATCGCACATTCGCGCGCGTCAAGTATATATATCATCGCGCAGCTACAATTGTATATTTATTACGTAAGTTGCAGCCGATATCTATGAAGTTGGCGCAAAACATTTCGCTCTTCTCTCGCGCTCGGATACGTTGTTGTAATGATATATGCATCTCGCTCCACTATACATTCGCGCCAGAAAAGTTGCGCGATTAGCGCGAAACGAGTAGCTATGCTGCGCGGCATCAGTAGCTGCGTGTCAATGAATCGACCGACACTCTTAAGCAATTCGCAACTTGAATTGCCTTATCAAAAACAATGAAGAGTCATCGCGTCACGTTGCCACGCTGCTTTTTTTATAATATAAATGTAATGCTCGTATATTATGAGAGGCAAGCGACGATCTATCCATTCGCGCACATTTGGCTATTCTGCGCGAGAATTTCGTAATGCGAGTCATAAAAAACAACGACGACGACGACGACGAAGACGATCCGAGACTTGGAGTTATAAGATCAAAAGGACCGCGAAATCGCATATTGTTCGTACTCGAGCTTAGATGGAAATATCACCGATAAAGACAGCTTCTTTGCGCCCACATTCGAGACTGAAAAAATACTCGGTATATGCGTACGAAATATACGGATTATAATAGCTGCTGTGCGCGCTTATGTGTGTGAGCGTATGTGTGTGTATCTACGCGGGTATATCTGTACATTGTGTATGTGGTGGATATGCGCGCGAACGTCCTAAAAATCAGACCGGCGACATCTGGGCGTCTGTTAAAAATATTTCACTCCGTACCGACTTTGCCTTCTGTTTTTGTTCAGTCAGTTTTAAAATCTTGCGCGCGGGCACAATAACGGCCTTAAAGTGATTACGTCCGGCTCACGAACCTGCTCCAACGAATTCTCAAGCAGAATTTTTATCTGCGCGTGTTGCTTTTTTATTGTTCGAATAATTGATAGACCTTTTTAACGGGAAAAATTGATCAAAGATACGCGAGCTGATTAACGAGACATCTTCGTCGTCCTCCTCTCGTTTTCTCTCCTCTCTCTCGCGCATAATGCTCATCTTCCTCGGTTAATTTGGCGCATATTTTACGAAGGTTTACGGTCGATTTTAATAAAAGAATTCTTTCTCATTTCCTCTTCATCATTCGTCGTATGACTATTCGCAAATTTTGAAAACGATATTGTGCGGGGTAGCGTGTGCCGAGTGGGAATGATTCACATTGACCTATCCATCTTCTCGATTTCTGGTATGAATTAATTTTATTCTTTAGTGAAGCTCGTGAACTCGCGCGTGTGCTGTAGGTGGCCGTCAGATCGAAACAAAGAATTATCGACGGATAAAATAAATCGCACGCAGCCAAACCAGAAGGCTCCGAATCGCTAATTTTACTTTGATAGATTTCTTAGATTTCATAAGTTTTCATAATAATCACTTGTTTAATCGAAAAATATAATCTTTAATACTTTGCGAGTTGATTTTTTTACAACGAAAAATAACCTACTCATTGATCGTGTATTGACTGAGACTAAATTCCACTTGTTATGATAATAAGATTAACTTCCTTCTTAAACTCTAATTAGCGTCTAGTAGCTATCACTAATTACTTTTAAGTTACCGCGTCTTCACAGGTAGTTTTTAGATCTGAGTTTACGTCTTTAGTATGTTTAAATCACGTAATCAATTGCAAGTTGATATATCACAATTAAGATATGAAATTGGTTTTAGATAGGAAATTGATAAATTAGCGATAGTTAGTCAAAATGACTAAATTATTGAATTACTGCAGGACAGTTTCGAGTTGACATCGAATGACTTGCAAACAGCGTAATCGACATATGTTACCACTCGTATGACATTTATAATAATGTATGTTCGGTACAACTTTAGATCGTTAGGTTCTCTGAGATTCGTTTCTCTTCCTGTGGCGCGTTCTCAGCCTACCGAGCCTCAGCCTTTCCTTTACGCTGTCCATTCCACATTACGCTGCAGCCGTCGCAACATCAGACAATTTCCGTTATTCCGACGCTCCAAAATCTATATAAATTCTATGTAAATTCGATAAAATCATTTACGATTTATGAATTAATTAATGTTCATGTTATTGCGAAAAAAAATCAAATTATTAATAATGAAATATGAGAGTAACGGTTCCGTTCGTTATTGTTTTCAGGCTAAGGATGTCCTCGAAGAGGAAGTCGCCGCCTACAAAATTATCGGAGGGCGGGGGTGGACCACCACAGCATCAGCAGCAGCTACAGACGACACAGCACACGGGCGGCTCCGGTTCGGGGGCCGAAGAAGAAGAAGAGACAAGTTCCTCGCTGACTGGCGAGCTCGGCGCGAGCGTCTGCAATTCGGACGAGCCACTGCCGCTGTCGGCAAAGAGCTGCCACCAGCAGCAGGACAACAACTCGGTGGGGGGTCACGAGGCCGCGAAAACCACGAGCAGCAGAGAACCGCTGGCGGAATCGTCCTACGGCGGTGAGTCGTCGGGCTGCTCGTCGCCGAGCGACTCGGCCGTCAGCGATCCGGAGCTCTGCCTGTCGCCGAGTGCGGCCAAGCGCACCAAGCTCAACTTCATACTGAGCACAGTGGCCGCGGCAGCCGGGCCCGAGGCCGCAAACAGCCTCGTCGCGGCCTACCGCTCATCGCAGATCCAGGGCGGCAGCTCGAGCGTGGTCTCCAGCGGCATCGGACTCGACTCGTCCGAGTGCGGCTCGCCCACGACTCTCGAACATTCCTTCTTCCCGAATCATCAGCAAAATTTGCCCCTGCACAACAACAACAACAACTCGGTGATGCAGAACAACAACAACAACGGCAACGGGCCGGCGGCTAACAATCAGGTGGCCAAGCGAACGATGGACGACGTACTCAAGAGGCTGACCGGCAAGCGAAACAATCTCGCCGACGAGCCCAACAGCAGGCGGACGACGCCGCCACCCTCCACGACTCCAACGAGTCACAATACTCACAGGTAACTAGAGCTTCAAATTGATCATCTGTCAACAATCAAACGACGTAACTCGATAATTAAAAATACTCCCCCTGCATGAAATCAGCGGTATACACAACGTGTTGCCGAAGAAATTTCACGGGCCGCGAGCTTGCACGATTCGCTGAGCAGTGATGAAGCAAAATCGCGTTGCATGCATTTGAACTTGGCAAACGCTGTTGCGAACGCGTACGCATACACACACACACACACACAGACACAGTACCAAGTCTGAAGGCGCTCGGTACTGCTCGCCAAACGGCTCGTGCGTAATATTCGTGCCGAGCTTCAAAGCGGGTGACGCGCGTCGTCCCCTCCTCGATTACGCGCGTCTAATGTTAACGCAGCAGCCGCGCGATGTATAACGCACGCATACACAGTTAGGCGACAGAATCGAGCTCGGCAGTAGAACTGCGCGAGAGAGAGAGAAAGAGAGACAATAACGACCGCCGATATTAGCTTTAAGCGCGGCTGATCGCGTTATATAGCTACTGCGGACCTGCTGCTCTTCTGCGCCTGCCATATAACGTGTAAAAACCTTTTTGACTAATTGTCGACAACGTCTCTCACTTGTTTGGCTCCGCTCAGATGATCTCAGAATAGCCGATTGTTCTGTCGCAAACAATGGACCAGTGCGGCTTTACTCTCGACTCTCGGCTATACTTTACACGCCGGACCAGAGCGACTCGACGACACGATTGCTTTAGCACATTTTTCATCGCACCCATACCTCGTTTCTACACTTTGAGCTCGCATCATCGCGCGAGCTGCTCATATTATAACATGTTCTACGCACTGGATGTGTCTCCACGCGCGCGCGTGTTATGTTGTCTCTCTTCTTCCTTTTCTTCTTCTCGAGGCAGCAGCTCCGAGCGCCAAAACTTAACGAGCTTTGCCGATGAATCATTCGTCATAAGAACACACGAACGACACGACAATAACCGAGCCACCGAGCCTTTATTCTCTCGCATCGCATTATCATTTTTGTTCAATTTTTACTATTCTCGCGTTCGACAAAATTTTAAAATATCTCGCATCCGAGCGAAGCGTGCTACTTAAGTACGAAGCCCGTTGGCGATGATCAATTCTAGAGGTTTGGCCATCTCGCGAAACAACGCGAACAAATGATATTCTCGTCAATTTTTTTGTCGCTTTTGCGACACACGCTCTTTCCTTTCCAAGCACATTAATAAATTAAGCATATATCTACATTCGAATAGAATGCCCCTCGTATTCGCGTTGTTTTTTAGCGATTGTGAATTGTTATGTAGTTGTAGTTTTCGGTCAAGCGTGAACTACCGCGTTTATATTTATCTTGGCATTCTTTTTTTGCGGAGTTTTGACTGATCTCATAATATATTCTTTGAAATTTACTTCTTTGAGAAGTAACGAACTGATAAGATAGAAGATTTTTCAAGAGCTGGCGAAAAGAACATCTCTCGTATAATTATATGGCCTGAAGTACGTAATTCAGCTTTCTCGTCCGAACGACAACGATTCTTAATTACGAACGCAGGAAAAAATATATTTCATCAGCAGGAAAATAGTTGCATAAAACTTGGAACTGGAAAGAGGTAAATAATAATAATCGCGAGAAAAATTCTATTTCAAAAAGGTCAGTTTAAAATAGTACAGGCCAGAATGGTCGATCGTAATTGTACAAATCAAACAAGATATATATACGTCTATTCGCGTAATGGAATAATTGAGTGCGGGCGCGAGGCGTAAACTCGCTCGCGACGATAAACAATTCGAAAGTGCCGATGAGTTTTAAATTATATATATACGGCGGGAGTTTATCGATCAACGCATTTCACGTGGCTCTGCACGGCGGTGGCAGCGAATGTCATTCACCCGAGCCGACGTTTTTATACGAAAAAAAAACTTGAGAATTCCTGGACCTCTCTTGCAAATATATTCGCGCCTGGTATATAATAACGCAGTGGCGTAATCGTGCAACCGAGACTCATCGGTCGTACGTATAGACGTAAACTTCGTAAATTTGACCGTGCATGGACCTATTCTCGTGGCACAATTGATCCATGCATCTGCGAAACCTATAATAAAAACGAGTGCGCACTACCTGCATAGCTTCACCTGTACATTCTATTTATAAAAGAAAAAATGCTAATGCCGAAGGACGCAGCTTGGCCAATGATAAAAGCACAAGCAGCTGAACTCTTGCACTGTGTTTGTGTACATCTGCCCTCTCGTCCAGTGGTAGTGGTGGTGGTCGCTTTTCAATGACGTACGCGAAAATATAGGTAGCCGTAAGAAAAAGGGAAAAGAAAGAAAGAAGAGAATAAAGAAAAGAAAGTGTGTGTGTGTGTATGTATATGCGACGACAGGCACGAGCTCTGCACAGCGATAAGCAGCAGCAGCAGCAGCATACACACAATGCGCTTGGGCCGTGCATCGTTTATTCGAGAACTGCTTTTTCCGCTCTCCATTATACGCGCGTGCGGCACATCCATGAATAAAAGCCCCGGGCTCTTCTACTCTTTTCCTCGATGCCTCGCTCGCTCCCTCTCGTATACTCGCTCGAGTTCTCGACTCTCGTGTGGCGTACATATACATACGTATATAAAAATGAGAACGCACGCGGGTCAGAGTTCGAGAGCCGGAAAAAAGGAAGGCCATTTCGGACCATCAGCCGATGCAAACACACTCGGAGCGGCAGCGGCGTTGTGCTACTGCAGAAGCAGCCTCGAGATTGCGCCTCGCGCGACCCATCAATTATTCAGTGGCTGCGAAACCCCTGCCTGCGCACACACACACACACACACACACACACACACTTACAGTCGACTCGCGCGTGGCCACAACGGCTGCACTGTACTGCAATACAGTACGTTGAAGCAGCTATCAAGCTGGCCTCTGGCACATTTACCTGTCATTCCGCAACCCCCTTTTTTTCTCTATATACTAGCTGCTTTCGCGCGCGCAATGCTATATAATTATTCCTCGCGTACTCCCATATGTATTTATACTCATGTATATACGACCTACCTACAGAGACGAACAAACGCGTGTGTGCCTTCGTTTCAACATGTCAATTATATGCGAATGTATACTCATATGTAACGCGTACGCGATGATCTTCTCTTTGCAGTAGCAGCAGCAGCGTAACCAACAGCGTGGCTCCATCGCCGACTGGAGCTGGTCGGATTCAGGGCATCGATTCGGTCGACAACTCGTTGCACAACGCGCTTCTGGGCGATCTGCCACTGGCCGAGAAGGAGCGAAGGGTCTCCGAGATGATCATGCAGCTTCAAGTGTTTCGAGCGAATATGCTCAACCAGGACAGTGCCAAAGTAAGTCTCTCGTTATATTTCCATGATCGAGAGGTGCGGTAATATTTTGCCAGCGAATCACCTCATTATACATATAATATCATGCTATTATGAATCAACGCGCGAAACTCTAGCCACTTGTTTCTGTCACGTATACCCATGGTGTATTAAAATTACACATTGATGAAAAAAATCGGAAGAAACGACGATGAGTCGAGATGGTGGATAATACGATGACGCACGGTCCAGTGGGTCGCGACGAATTGGCCCACGCCAGTCGCTACTACTTTCACTGACCCATCGAGAGTAATTTTTTAATATACATAAGAAAATACAGGCAGCTTATTTATGCCTCTGACGCTGCCGCGTGTACGCGACTTGTTTGTTTTTTTACGCGCGCCTGCTGCGACAGATCGAATCGTAAATTCGAGCGCGCATGTGCGCACGCGTTCATACTAGCCGCATAGCAGCAGGTATATCAGTATGGGTATAAACCGAGCACTAGCTCATGTAGACTCGCGACGCGCGATCGTATATAAATGAGAGTCAGTGGCGCGAGTCGCTACGAAAACATCGTATATAGAGAGAATAAAAATTTCGGTAGCAGCGGTAGCAGTATAGCAGCAATAGTTGGGACACATGTATTATGTAGAGGATGTGTCGAGCCGCGCGATGAGATAACAGCTGCCGCGCAGCGTACGCTATGGAGCTCTGAATGTGGAGCGAGGAGTACGACGCGATAACTAAATATACGCTTGAAGATTTATTGATCCATGCGTATATAGTCGTATATAGTATACGTATAGAGTCGCGTACGCAAATCTGTTGCGTACATATATCTGTGTGTGTGTGACCCCGCCCAACGTAGCAGCAACAGTAGCACACCATCAGCGGCTCGTCACTTTTCCTCGATCCGCGCGGCAAATATTTCCTCTGTCATCGATCCGTTATTTTCCAAAAGCCATCGACGTTTTCAACCGGCCTCGTCGTGCATTCTATATATCGTCGTCTACTGTAATCCGCAACCCGCCCCAATTCGTTTCCTATATATCTCCCACGAGTTGGCGTGCTGTAGGCACGTTATACATATAGATCAGAGAAAAAGAGAGAGACAGTTTGTATCTGCATTCGGATTGCGCGCTCGGGCGAATTATATCGGCATTATTTCTCGCTTCGCCGGGTCTAAGTCCAGAGACGCACTCGTCGCGTTTCGTCGATTCATCCGAGCCAAGTTGAAAGTGACTCAAAGCGTACACGGGCCTCGTCGAGTCCTCCTCGCCACGTTATGCTCTACCCCTGCCTGACTGCCTGCCTGTGCGAGGATTAGATTAAAGTTGCAATTAATTCGCAACGTATACTATAATACGCGCGCGCGCGAATCAAAGCGGCTACGAGACGAAGAGTTCGTAGGCCTGCGAAACGTTCGATTGATAAACGAGCGTTTGCTTATAACTTTGTATTTTAGAGAGAGAGCAATATATTTGTCTGCCTTGGATGTATATGATATAAGCGCGACACGGTGATCCAACCGATCGGATGACGAACAAAAAGCGCACGCGCGCGCGCGATTATAATAAAACAAAATAATAGCCCCCGGGCAAGTGGACGAGAGACCCGACCGAGAGAGAAAGAGACGACGTGTACCTATAAAGCAAGGAATTCCGAATGATAAGGCTGCGTGTTGTTTTTTTCACATAATTAGGTAAGCTCGCGCGCACGCGGTAGAAAAGACTGAAAGGAAGAGAGAGAGAGAGGCGTTTCGTAATGACGAAAATTGCGAAACAGCCGCGTGCGGCGAGCCGAGCGAGCGAGCGACCGATCGCCGAGAAGAATTAAGAATGAATCGGCGGCGGCAGCAGCGAGAGCGCTCCAAAGTGCGTGTGTGTATGCGCGCGGAGTGCATATGCACGCATCGTAATGACAGAAGCAGCAGCGCGCTCGATCCTTTGAACGTCTCAATCGCTCGAGACTCGATTGAAGAACAATACGCGAGCCGATCTGCCCGAGCGTGTCGAGTCCAAAGATAAATAGTATTATAGTAAATGCGATGCGTGTAGTAAGTGGAGGCTGTAAATAGGATCAGCTACCGAGAAACTGTGATCAGCTGCCGATGCTCTCACGCGGGTGCAAGGCACAAGTGCAATACAATATTTCGAAGAACGTCTCTCTCTCTCTCTCTCTCTTTGGCAGCGGTAGATCAGCTGCGGCGCGATTCGTTCGAAGAATCTCCTTGCATCGGACAGCACAGACAAGAGCTGAAATACGGGAGGCTGCACTGCGAGAGCGCGAAGCCAATATAATAATACTCGCGTAATATTCCGTTGACTCTTTCTCTCGGCGATCTGCTGAAGCAGCAAAATCAGTAGCAGCGCAGACGCGAATCGAAAGGATATATACGTATAAGCGAAAAGGAGCTGCAGTGCTCTCGTATACCGCTGCAGATCGCTCGCGTACACAGAGGGAGATAATGAGCGCAATACACGTATATAGTCCGCCGCTGCATTATCTGCACGCGTTCGCATTTTTGCCCGCGCGCTCACGGTGGTGCAGTGCAGCAACAGCAGCAGCAGCAGTGCACATTGCAGTGGAGCACGCGCGTGCGAATACGTGTGCGAGCGAGCTATACCGTGCACACGCTATGTGTGCACGAGTATACGTGTGTGTACAAGAGAGTAGAGTGCGTTTTGCGTGATCGATCCTCGCGAGACACTTGCACACACACATGCACACATGCACACATTCGAGCAACTTAATAATAAGTGCTGCTGCTGCTGTTGTTGTTGTATCTCCTTGTTCTCTCTCTCTCTCTCTCTCTCTTGGGCAGTCTCGCGCACTCGAGTTGCAACAGCGGCTACTGTCCGAGATTCTTAAACAAACCGCAAGATACATAATAATACGAGTAGTATCTCGGCTCGCTCTCTGCCTTAGCTGCACGCACGGAAGCAACATACACACACACACACATACGCGCGCGCACACGCAGGTAGGCAGGCAGACAGGAGAGCCGCGCGCGGTCGCGAGCGCGAGAAGTTTGTTATAAAAATTACACGCCAGCACTATATTTTGTTCGACTAAAAAAGACCAACGATCCTTTCCTCTTTTCCAGTAAGTCAATATATATATATATTTCTCGAAAATACGCCACTGGCGACTCGAGCTAATGCTGCAGCAGCAACAGCAAGGAATGTTCGCTTTCTGATGCGGCTGCTCCGTTGCTGCTGCTGCTGCAGTTGCAGTTGCGGATCGCTGCAATGTTTATGAAACCAGCTCTCCTTCTTCCTCTCCCTCGCGTTATGCGACCCGATCGTGTATGAGTATCTGTGTGTGTGTGTGTGTGTGTGTGTGTGTGTGTGTGTGTGTGTGTGTGTGTGTGTGTTATGCATATTAAACGTAGACCGTACGGATTATGTAAGTCAATTGACTCGTTACTCGCACACGGCTATAAAGCGATTTATACGATCCCAGCGTACAAAGATACACATTTCGTCATTTTTATATAGTTGTCGATCGTCCATCTATTCTGTTATTTTGGATTTTTCGTATATATACGATATGCCTTGCAACACGTCGAGAAGAGTTTCGTCTCGTGTATATTGCTCCATCTTCATTGTGTTGCGATACTCGACAAAACAAAATACATTGGACGTTTTGTCATCGGTTATATGGTCTTTTTCAACGATTTGGAATTCTTTCATGCGATAATAACTGCATATTTTTGCACTTATGGACAGCGAAGTGTGTAAAGCGCCTATACGTGCGCTCGTGTGAAATACTGAATATAATATCGAGTAAAATGTGCGTAACGTAAATAAGGCTTAAATTAACATTCATGGCGTAGCGCGAGTCGCGCTGCCGCTGCTACATCACACGCTAATGCTCGCGCACAAAACCCCGATTGTAGTTGAATTGAATTATTATTCAAGAAATGCCTGAGAAGAATTTCACGCTTTTTGCTGATCGGTCATTAAAGAATATATATCGGGGAACGTATTGTTTCGTAAAAAGAGATCGATTGTGTGATCGTCGTTGGCTCATTAAACGCTACAGAGAACCAGTTTCAGGATTCATAGACGATTGAAAATTATCTGTTGTAATTGTCCCGAGATACGTATCGCGAACAGTAACACGTAAACTGGAGATTTCGCTTTCTCTCAGAAAAGCTATTAAATTTTTTTTAACGAATTTCTATTGTAGTCTTCCATTCTTCTGTATATATTGCGCCGAGTCGAGGCTATTAATTTCAAAAAATAACCCGCACATTACGCATTCGTAAGAGCTGAATCAGACCTCCTCGGACGAGATTTACTTTGTTATACGGATAGAGCTGTATACCGCATACGAAACTAAATTATATTATGTACGAATCGAGTAGAGAGAAAACAAGTGAAACTAATGGCGAAGGACGTTTCGTTCAACTATACACGTGGTAATTGGTATTGGCCAAATTCGTGCAGGTTACAATTGCGGTCCTGTAAAGTTCAACCTGTACAACAGAGCTACACCCTTTCGTAGGTATATATACGTATACAAAAGCCGAGAGTCGACGCTCGCCATTTTAGCGCAGTTGGTTGCCCATAGGCAAGCGCGGGGGAGTATACGCGTCGCGTCGAGGCTCAGCTATATACACGCGTACAACTGTATGGATAGATATTCGCGGCGAGTAAACAATGGTCGTCGACGCAGTCGACTGCACAATAGAGAGAGAGAGAGAGAAAGATACTACGTAGTAGTATAGCTCGTCGGTGTCCAACGAACGTATCAAGTGCCGCACAGGCTGAGGCTTGAGGCAGGCTGAGCAAACAAAACACAATGGCGTCCGCAACGACTTTCTGCGAGGAGAAGAGCTGCAGTGTATTATAGACGAGAGAGAGAGAGAGAGAGAAAAAACTGCAGTAGCAAAAAGTTGACGCGACTCGGAGGGAACAAAAGAGCAAGACGGAGAAAAGAAAGAGAGAGAGAGAGAAACGACAACTAGCGAGTGCGCGGAAGAGCACAGCAATGGGTGAGAGGAGGAAGACGTA